GAAAGTAGAGTTGAATTGCATTTGTCTTATGGATGCCATTCGTGGCCTCAAAGTAATGGTCGGATCCGTCGGGCAATTGGACGACACGATTGCGGAAGTGTTGCGACAGTGGTATGGGTTTGGTATTGAGGGCTGATTTGAATCGTGTCTCAAACACATCGCAAACATCTATGGCTTCACTCGAGTCGATGTTTCCGTGGATTAAGGCCTCGATATGGAAACGGGACAGTAGTTGAGATACCAGTGCTGATACGTCGTCAACCGATATATCATAGGCTGTGTCTAATAGCTCCTCATAAGTCCAGTCCCGGTCACTGGTAGTGGCGTTCATATAATAGCCGAGTAGTTGTGGTTTTGAAAGACTCTGGTAACTTTTAAGATCGCGAATCCGTTTATCTTTAAACACATCAAACTTTTTAGGATCCACTTTGAAAGCAATTAATTTATCCAAAACAGTGGTCATCAATGAGTTTAGTTTGTTGTTATATCCGCCAAATGTTAGCTAATTATAAACACACAGTTAATCTATAGAAAGTATAGTAACTTTTAATATACTGACTTCTAGGCCAGTGACTGTACGATAGAAGTTATAGGACAGTCCGGCTAATTGTGCTGAATATGAGTATTCATTAATTGAGTCCATGAATACTCGGGTCCATAATGTACTGGCATTTGCATGCATTGGGCTATCGTATACGTGCGGACTATATCAAAATGTAATATGTTCGTATCATAGTATCTAGGTTACACAATAATTAAGTATTACTTTGTTAGTTTGAATATATAGAAAGCCTTTGGAGTGCGGTATTGATTGTCCTGCAAATGCCAAACACGAGAAAACTCTGTGTTTCTAATCATTTGTGGCATTTGTTTCACGTTATCATCGATTGACTTAAGAGTGAAATCATAGGGAATGAAGTCATTCTTTAGTGGAAGTGCTAAGTTGTCATTGAATCCAATGTTTAGCCACTTCTGGATCTTTTCCGGAGGAATGTCTTGTTGTGTGTATTGAGTTGAGTACCACTTCTCTGTCTGGTCTGCAATTGTGGTGAACTGTTTGGACACAACTGTCACTCGCATGCGATCCGGAGTCAAGTGATTGAGTAAATCAGTGATCAAATCGGGTCTAAACTCATCCAACAAATATTCGGCACTCAGACACTCGTCTAACGGATAGTCCTAATAAGCAATGAATTTTAATTATTATATCTTTAATTAGTTAAAAATCACAATAACTTGTATATTGTGGGAAAGATCGATCACATAACCCATGGGTCTCTCCTTTTCCTTAAATCTGAACTTAATTTCTTGCATTTGTTTCAATTCATCAAAAATCCATTGCTTCGGACCCTCTCTCTGAACACAACCAATAAAAATTCATTTATTAACACAACTCACAGAATATTCTTGAATACAATAAACAGAATCATACTTTAAGTAAATTAATGTATTGGAAGACCAATGAAATAATATCATCGATGCTATCCATAGCCTGTTCAGTCAGATCGACGCCAATATTAAAGAAAGCGAACCCCCGGTAGCTCCCGACCGAATGCCCGGCCGATAGACTGGTACACCAGTTCCGCCCTTTTAGCTCCGATAGCAAACTACCCGGCCCTTCGTGTCCAATGAGGTGAGTGAGCATACGGTGGGGTTTTGATCTGTTAATGAAAAATAAGGTATTTATTTGATTATTCTGTAGTAAATAATGTGTTATACTTGTGATGGTCCACCATATCAGGCATTGGGAATGTTATGGCAAGACTCCTGGTGTCCATATTCGGCACAACATAGCATTGCTTTTGTAGGAAAGGGTCGGGAAATGGATTAGTAGTCCATTTGGGAGCGATTACACTGTTATTCTTGATTCGCGAAAACAACGGAATCACTAATGCCTCCAATTCTTCAATACTTTCTGTGTATTCATAACAATAATAACTATTGGTATGTATTAAGTGGTCAACATTTATGAGTCAAACCTTTGCCCAAAACGACTAAAGACATGATATTTGCTGAATACCAGCGCTCGTGAAACGACAGCAACTCCTGGCGGACATCAATGCTTTTGGCGTAAGGAATCTCTTTAAGAGTTTCCATATTTCCTGAAATATTTGAAACAAATTACTTATATTTCTGAAACTACTTATAATCAGAAACAATGAGTTACCGGTCGAGAATTTGCTGTAATCATGAGTGGGATCTGACAGTGATCTCTGTAAATGAGATAATCTTCGGCTATCCATCGGTATATTCCTCTCGTACTCCGAGTGGACGGCATTCATCTCCTTTTCCGTCGCACTCTCTGTGAACAGCGGCTCAATGAAGAACTGCGCGAATCTGACCATACATTTGAAAATCATATCTTAAATACTTTTATACAAAACAAAACATCAATTGTCATAAATGATGTGGACATACCTGTCGAGAGTACCGGCCAAGAAGTCCGTGGATATGTCGAAGTGATAGTTGGTATTGTTTGGTGCTGTGTAGGCATTACGCGCCCCACCATTACTTGAGATGTATTTGTGGTAATCGTTTTCTACGGGGTATTTACCGGTGCCTAAGAATAGCATGTGCTCTAAGAAGTGGGCCAACCCTTGCACCGACCGGGGGTCAAACATCGAGCCTACGGCTACGTCCAGTGCGGCCGCAGACTTGTCTGCCTCCACATCACTGATTAATAAGATTTTTAGGCCATTCCTGAGTACCAGTCCTTTGTATTCACGTTTATCGCCAACAGATTTAATGATGTTTTCATAGCTTTTTGTAATTAATACAGAATTTAACTCATTTTCACTTAAAACAGTCATAACTTATGTGTTAATATTAAACAATATCGTCGACACTATTATTAATTTTTGATCAAAGTTTTAAGAAAATTATTTATAAGTCTTTTTATATACTAATTATTTACTATAGTTTAATTCATTTATTTTAATATCAATAATAATTTTATTAAACCCTTTGAATACTGTTGCTAACAAACACTTATTTATATAATAAGTGCAAAACTACTTATCAAGATAACAGTAAGTACAGTATTGCAATGGGAAATGATATCTTGATCGTGATTATTAGATTCATAAGACTTTTTTCTTATCGTAGTTAAGGGTTATCAAGCATATTTCTGCAATAAATTAATTTGTTTTTATTTATATAATGTCTTTATATATTCAATTAATTTGTTTAATGGTTTACCTAAACTTATACCCAATGAAACCAAACTTAATGTTTTTCTAACCAAATGTCAAAAATTTTATGAATTATAAAATTGTTTTAAATATAATTGATTTTGTATTAACCAAGACGTTATGGTTTAATAAAAAAAATTTATTATTTATTATTATTATTAACAAAAATATACTTTAGCAAAGCTTAGCATAAAATATGGTTTATATTTAAATTAAAAATATGCGGACTTTAATTTTAAAAATTCATAACATTTCAATATAATATATAACTTAAATTTTATATTTTATGATGGACTTAATATTTTAAATTTTTGTACATATTTTTGTTAATTAAAAATACACAAAACAAATTATATAGACTATTTCCATAGCATATTAAATTATTCTTTCATTTATTAGTTAATAATATAGTTCATAAATATCTGTAATATCAAAGTCTTATAAACAAAACAATAAACATGTATTTAAAGTGTAATGTACAGTAAGTCTACTATGATACCATATAATATGTTCACGATAATCAGTTAATTTACATATTAAGTTTAATTTTACAAATAATTAATAGAAAATTTTTAATTATTGAATTAATTTATATGAATTACTAATTCCAAATTATAACATAATTTGACTCAAAAAACATAAATACTAATTTGTTATAAAACATTTCACATTCATATAATTTTCACAAAACACTGAGCAACATAATTTTATTAAGTTATATTTAATACATAAGTATAACTCAAAAATAAATTAATATTTTATAGTCCCTTAAAAACCGGGAATTATTTTATAGGCCTCGAGACTGGATACCACCACAAAAAACAGCCACAAACTCGCAAATAGCATAACTGTCCACACTCTACGCCATAGGGAACCACCTAATTCACCACCAAGTAATCCCTTAAACATCAATACAACACACGCAACGACAGCACAGGTAGTAAAAATAGTTACCGAAAATACCAAAGACCCTGGATCTACCCTAAATTGAGTGCCCCTGTATGTGTGCCATACCGGCCCTATAATCCACGGGATACCGATGCCCAGACATACCGTCACAACATTACTGGCCATTACGCTACCGATGGACAGGTCGGCGCCGAACCGGTCGTACTTTGCGATCAAACCACCGGTCAGTGCGTCCGGAATACCGGTGCCCAACGCCACGACCGTAATGGCGGTGACCGAGTCCTTCAGACCTATAGTACAGCCTAAGTGTGAGCTCAGGTCGGCTATCAGTGCCGTCATAAAGCCGATGCATATAAGGCTGACTATAATACAGGCGCATCCCTGGCCTAATCGCGCCGGCGGTACGAATGCGAACAGAATTTTCCAGAATATAGTCAACACGTGTAGTGTGTAATCAAAGCACGTGGCCGACTGGACCTCCCGGTGCCGATCATCTCTATGGGCTGATACCCGGAAGGCGTCGATGAACTGATCCCTCCAACTGGTAGTCCCTATTGACTGACCATTACATCCGGTCAACCGTTTTGTTGCCTCAACCCTATAATAAGCTCTGGTTTTATTGGTTGTAGTCCTGGTTGAGTTAGCATTAATAGTGTCCGGCGGCCCGACCTCTTGACTGTCTACATCCCCTTCACGCTTGTAATGCTTTGAGGCCTCCAGTTCCACCACATGGTCGTCCCCTTCGCTTATAATTGTATCTCTATAAAAAATTAAAAATTAATAGAAATTAATAATCGTTTTAAACTTTTCATCACCTCGATGTGTATTATAGGCTATAATTTATCGTATACACACAAAATCCCGAAACATATAATCCCGAAAATCTAAATCCCGAATTCAAAATCCCGAAATACATAATCCCGAAAATTATAATATCCATAAAAATAATTATTTTTACTTTACGTAATGTAAAATTCATTGAGATTATTTAGTTTTACTTGACTAGTTATTATACACTAGTAAAATTCAGCCAATAATTACAATATTGAATATTTGAGGAGATATTTATTTACTAATATAACAATAACTAACTTTTAAATAATTATTCTAATAATATCAATGAATTTTACATTACAAAAAGTAAAACTAATTATTTTTATTGATATTATAATTTTCGGGATTTTGTATTTCGGGATTTTGATGTACTTCCATAATTTATAGTACTGATGTCTCTTAACACAAAATTATAATTATCAAGGAAATTAATTATCTAGGGTAATTTTAGTTATTATTTTAGTTTATTATTAAGGTACTTAATTTTAACCTTTAATTTAATTCAATGCATTGCAATGTATTGTATTTTATAGTATACTAATTTTTAAGCTAATATTTCTAGTACTTAGTGTTACAATATAATGAAATTTTAAAAGATAACTAAAATAACCTTACGTATTGCCAAAATGTCTGTCCATCATATATGCAATTAAAACCATAACCGAGTACAGCACCAAAATAGACACACCTTCCCACACATCTACCACACCATAGGTATTCACCGCAAGTATAACACACAGCCATCCGTAAGCAAACAGACTGCACACCATTACCATCATTAATACACTGACCACTAATACAAATTCACTGAGATGTCTGGCCCATACATACTGATGCACAGGATACGCACACCATACACAGGTAGCTATAGTGATAAACGTGTTAAAGGCAGCACTTCCTACGATAACACTCGGTCCTAAATTCCCGGCTGAATAACTGTTAGTCCAGAGCTCAGTGGTTGACAATAGGACTACTGGTGCCGACGCGCCCATAGCCATAACTGTTATGTTGGAAACCGTTCGGTTCCAAATGGGAACAGTTATCACACCGGACTGAGAGTCGGTGACAGTTGTGGTCAGTTGTCTTTTCAGGGAAGTAATCACTTGGATGGCGGACATCAACTTAGAGGTGATTATAGAGAGACCGAT